AAGAAAAACTGAAATATCACATGGTCCTAAGTATTCAGACCCAAAATGAATATCCATATTCATTTTTTTATTAAATCTCAAAAATGAATATCCATATTTTTCATACATAGCAATGTATATTATAATGTTTTGATGCCTAAATTCACTTGCAGCATTTACAGTGATTGATTTTATTTTTACATAAAAATAAAAATATATATAAAAATAGTATACAATTTTAATTTGCGATTATTTTGACCATAATATCATAATGATCAAGTTTTTGGTATCCCTTGTTTTAAAGAATATAAATGTATTTTGACACTCAATAATACATTTCATAACTAATTTTGGTAAGTTGTATCAATTAAATTTAAAATGTTTTGAAAATGAGTCACTAAAACTAGTTATTGTAATATAACTATTAATATAATAACATTCTGAAAACATCTGTAATATTTTCATGAGTTGTTTGCTCTGATTTTCCTAATTTGAGGCATTTTAGTGTATTTACACAGCTCTGTTTCCTACAGCCGTTCTGGCCAATGGGAACAGGAATTGCTCGGGGCTTCCTGGCAGCCATGGACACGGCCTGGATGGTTCGCAGCTGGGGTCAGGGCAACACCCCATCACAGGTTCTGGCTGAGAGGTCAGAGTCTGAATGAAGTCAAGGCAGATTTATGAACAAACAGTTTTGACAATGTAGGATTCTGTTCTAATACCCCCCTCCGTTTCTTCCCCGTCTCAGAGAGAGTGTATATCGGCTGCTTCCTCAGACAACACCAGAAAACGTCAGTAAAAACCACAGCCAGTACAGCATGGATCCTGCTAGCCGCTATCCCAACATCAATATGCAACTCATCAGCGCTGCTCAGGTTAGAAACCTGCAGTTCTAATCAAGTCACAATCAGTGATGGTGATCATGATGATGTTGAACATGTGTGTACAGGTGTGTCATCTCATAGACACAGGTGAGGGTCCAGTTTTGAGCCTTGATGCTGTCAGCTCTCCACACCCACGACTTACACGCCAAGGTATGTGTGACTTCATATATACCATCTCCCACATATACATTCATACACAATCTAACATGCTGTCTGTGTGTGTAGAGTCAGTGGCTCGTTACAGTAAGCTGCTGAGCTGGTGTCAAGAGCAAACACACGGCTACATGAACATGTGTGTGACGGATTTCACAACTTCCTGGAGGAGCGGCCTGGCCCTGTGCGCTCTCATTCACAGATTCAGACCTGACCTCATGTGAGTTCGCACTCTTTACTCTGGGTATGAATGAGGGTTGTGGCATAGTGGTAAAAGATCTGGGCTGGTAACCTGGTTTAGTTCACAGGTTGGCAAAACTATGAGTTGCTGCTTTCTATTGCTAGCATTTTATTGGATTAAAATGTATATGATGTGACTGTGGGATTTGAGGATTTAAGAGTGGCGTATTTAATTAAAAGCATAAATAAATAAATAGATCATGTGTCAATAAAAAATATAACACATTTTCTTAAATTATATATGACATTTATAGTTAATTATATATTGACACTATATAGTTATTAAATAAATGTATGTCAATAAATAAAATCCAAATAATTAAATGTGTCAATAAATATATAAATTACATGTAGATGACATTTTCCATCAGATTGTGTATTTGTTGACATTTCATTATTGATCTATTTAGTATTTATTAACTCTTTTAAATAAATGTTTATATATTAAGATACTGTTATATTGATGGGCTCAAGTTAATTTTTAATAAAGCTGCTTTCAGTCCTTCAAAAGGAAATTTAGTAGCTAAAAGTGTGGGCTGATTGTTTTATTGCATTGAGGTTTTCTGAATGTGTGACTCTTGACACTAGCGTCTTTGTTTCTTGCAGTGATTTTGCGTCTCTGGAGGAGTGTGAGGCGGAGCTCAATGGTCAGTTGGGTTTGGACATGGCGGAGCAGGAATTTGGTATTTGTCCTATAATGACCGGAAAGGAGATGAGCACACTGGAAGAGAGTGACTCTCTTAGCATGGTCATGTACCTCAGTCAACTTTATGAGCTCCTCAAAGACACAGCGCCAGCTGGTGGTCAGGATAGGACATTATCTGTTATTTTATTTTTATTTGTGTCATATTTTTGACCTTTTATGTTTATTTATATACACACTTTTTGTTCTCTGAACAGGAAACCTGAGCTCAGAAGAGAAAGCTGTTCTGT